GACGCCGCTTCTGCTCCTCGACCTCGGCCTGACGCCGCTTCTGCTCCTCGACCTCGGCCTGACGCCTCTTCTGCTCCTCGACCTCGGCCTGACGCGTCTTCTGCTCCTCGACCTCAGCCTGACGTCGTTTCTGCTCCTCAGCCTCAGCCTGACGCCTCTTCTGGTCTTGCTCTTCCTGATATTGTTGCTCCTTCAGTTTCCTCTCATTCTCAAGAATGAGTTGTTCCTGCAGCTTCCTCCTTTGGTCCTCATTAACACCTTCCTCTTGCTGCTGTCTCCTCTCCTCCTTCCCTGCTCTGGTTCCTTCCCTGTCAGAAGACTTGAACCCTTCGCTCCAGGTGGCTTCCCAGGTGGCAATGGTAGGCTCTCGTGTGGTTAGAGAAATGCTGTTTGAGTTTAGGACCATCAGTTCCTAAATGATCAGTGAGAAAAGAAATTCATCTAAAATCTGTTTATTTCTAAAATTTTATATAGAATACTGCATATATACTTTCATTTTAGATGGCAGCTATTGTACTTGACCCAAAATTCCACTTGAAACAATGTGAAACGTTTTGTCACTAAAAAAGGCCACACTTGAGTGACTGAGATAACTTAGAAGAGGAAGATGTTCTTAGGTTCTGTTGGTGTGATTATTTAATGAAGTAACAAAGAAACTAGGAGAAAAGTGGAAACATCGAAGCAAAATACTAACAAATCAGAGCTCACTGTATTTTTCAAAGAGCTACATAAGCTGAACATGTGGCCAAAAGCCAAGCGAAATGCAGTATCTTCTATTTCTCAGATAATTTTACCAATGAGGTAAAGAGGAGGAAGAAAACTCAAAAGGCATGCTCCAACATTACCTCATTCAAGTACTTGGAATTCTCTCTCTCAGCCTCTTGCTTAGCCCTTTGCCACTCTTCTCTCAGTTTCTCCTGTTCACGTTGATATTTTTCCTACAAAGAAAGATAATATGTTTATTAATTAATAGATTACCGATGTTAAAAAGAATCCTCTCCACTAGCATCTTTGTCACCTATAAGTCTGCATATCAGAGTCCCTGCGCAGCGCGAATGGTTAATGCCTTCAGGTGCTAACTGAAAGGTTAGAGTTTGAGTCCACCCAAAGGCACCCTGGAAGAAAATACTGGCAATTTTTTTTTGGAAAAATCAGCCACTGAAAACCTTGTGGGGGACAGTTCTACACACAGAGGGTCACCATGAGTCAGAATCGACTCAATGGCAACTGGTACTGGTAAGCCTAGATACAAATCTTTTGAGACAGTGATTTTATTTTCATTTAACCACTCAGATTTTGGTCCCTAAATCAGAAAACATTTTACACTGAATTAAAAAACATAGAAGTTGGGAAAGTCAAACAGAATTAAATCCACTCTTTACTGTGATTCTAATTCATTAAAGCCTCTAGCTAAATTGTGAGGGGGACTGAATTATCTGCAATAAAGTGAATAAATAGTTTAAGTCGTCACAAAGACTAAACCTCTCACTCATGTCAGAAAATCCACAAAACTAAAAACCCTCATATGCTCTAAAAGTATACACAGGTGTTCATAAATAATAATTTTAAAAGGTTGGCTCCGGGAGTCTTTAAAATGGTAAAGTACTTGTTTAATACACAACGTGCCACATATCAAAAGACTTGCTAATTATGAGGTTATTGGCTGTTAAGATTTTTTTTTTAATTTGGTTCTCAATACTGGGTAACACTGACCAGGAAAAAGAATTAAAGAAAGCCTTGTTCCATATTATTCCGCTTTACCTGCAGTAGACGGTCCTGCTCTTTCTGCCACCTCTCCTGCCGCTTTCGCTCCTCCTCTTGATCCCACGCCCAGCGACTCGGGGCACTGATAGTTGGAACTGGAAGCTAACCAGTTAGAAGGAGAGGAGGTACAAACAGAGAAAGAATATGTAACATCATTAAGTCATCTATTGAACCACTTTTGCATAAGTAAGTTTTTTTTTAATATTTTATTTATTTTTGGTGCAATATACACAACCAAACATAAATCCATTCACAATTTCTACATGAACCAGTTCAACAGCACTGGTTACATACTTCACATTGTGTTACCATTCTCACTATTTCTACCCGTATTGTTTCATCCCCATTAATTCAGGCTGTACCCCTTAAAGTTCTCATCTGCGCTTTAGACTTAACTATTATCATTTTGAACTCATGTACATAATTCTTTATAAGAACCCAATGCTCAAGGCAAACATTCTTTACTAATTTGGCTGAACTATTGTTTAGTTTAATAATGGTGGTTTCATGGGGCAGTTTGGGTTCAAGGTTTAAAGATTATTTCCAGGCATTAGATTCAGGGGTTCCCCTACTTCAGTGGATTCAGTAAATCTGGTTTCCATACAAGTTTGAAGCTCTGTTCTATGCTTTTCTTCCTTTTGATCAGAATCCATCTGTTGGGTTCTTGATCAGAACAGTACAGTAATGGTAGCTGGGCACCATCCATTTCTTCTGATCTCACGGTAATGGAGGTAATAGTTTATGGAGGCAATTAAACCTGAAGTCCATTTCCTTAATATACATAAATTATTCACATCACACTTTGTTTAAACAGTACCAAGGAGGAAAGTGAATTTATATCTCCAAATTGGTCTTTTCAACTTGGAAGTATTACTATTTATGCAACTGAAAAGAACTGTAAACGGTGCTATTGTCTGGTAATTCATCCTACCAAGCTGACCTTATTTATTCCAAATTACAAATGAATAGTACTTACATCAGGAACCACAGAATCGGTACTTCCTGTATTACAGCATATAGGCGAGGAAGAAAAAAATACACAACGTAAGTTTCTGCATTTCTATAAGATAATTCCTTTCTGAAAGTTTTATCACTAGCTGTCTCTGTGCCAGTATATCAAGTGACACCAATTTTTTTTTTTTAAACAGCAGCAGTAAATCCTTCTTTCTCTTGAGTTCCATCTGTTTGCGACTCATTTTTCAAACTCACAGGCAGTAAAAAGTAGATAAACCATGGAAAGTAGTCAGATACTAAAGCTGCACCCTTTGTACCTACAACTTTTTTTTTTCTAAACTACAACTAGGTACTAGTTTGGATTAATGGCATATTTCTGAAGGGGTTTCAGGTTGTTTTATTCATAAAATGGGTAATATCTCATAGAGTGGCCTAATAGAAAAAAAAAGAATTTCAAATGTTAAAACATCTTTCAAATTCAAATTTTTGCTTGCCACTACTCAGTTACAATGTGACATCTGCAAGTCACATTTTTCAGGTCTTCTTGCTGATAAACTCCTTTTCATAATTAAGCCTCTGCAATAAACATGTTCAAGAAACGTTTTATTTTCCTCCTGTATTATTTGAAACACAAATGTTCAAAACTTCATGTGTAAACTGAGAGGTATAGTTTTATTCTTTATATCCTTAGGGGGCCTACATAATTGTGTATGTCTATACATAGTACAATGATTATAAAAAGGTAAATAGATTTCAGAAAATACACTGTCATATGGTATTTTTAAATTTTCCTGAAACACCATCTGTCATCAAATAAATTATTCACTTACACAATTATTTTTTACAGAAAACTACTTTGAGACTTAAGAAAATATTCCTCCCTAAAATAGCCTGTTAAAGAAAAATGAGTGAAAATTAGACTAGAGAAAGAAAGGAATTATCTTCTGTTAGCCACTCTGAGCTAGGAGTATCCTATTGTTTTAATCAAATTACCATAAACAAATAGGAGTTTAACAAACCAAAAAAAGAATCAAAAACACTAAGGGTACTGACACAAACAGACCTTGTACATGCATAGCTGGTAAGCTATTTCTATTTACAGTTTAAAAAAAAAAAAAAAAAAAAAACCCTAACGGAACAAAGAAAGAATACTAGGTGATTAACACAAATACACAATACCTATCTTAGTATAAGGCAAGTTTGTAAATGTTTTGATAATCTTAAAAGTAAGGAACAATACCATTTCAGACAGCAGCAGCACACTCTCCTCTGACTGTACCACTGAATCTCAAACATTGGCTATAACTTTTAAGCTCCCAATAGAAAAACACAGAGCTTGAACTGCCTTCATGAGACAGAGTATTAGACACACGTGAAAGTGTAGGAAAGCCACATGCACAGCACACGGGAGGCAGCCCTGCCCAACTACACCAACATAGAGGACCTCAAAATGCTCTTGTTCACAGCTACAGTCAAAATTAATTTATTTTTAACTTACTTCAAATTCCACAGAACAGTCATATTAATGCTCCAAAACCACCATCCCAATAGCAATAAATAACTCTGCTTTTGATTCAGGATTTCAAGCATTCTCCACAACCAAAAATCAGTCAGAGTTTTAAAAACTTGGCCAATTTTATGTTGGTGTAATCTAATAGTATGCAATGGATAGGAAGCAGCAAGGCTTAAATAAAATCCCTCATTTCTTACTGTTAACCAGGAGAAAGAAGTGTGTGTTTAATAGCATCTCAGTTTAAAAAGAAAAAACAAAAACCTTTAGAAGAATACAAAGGACACGCAAAGACCCATTTCCACAGAGGTAGACCCACGAGCTGTAAGAAAAACCTGGTGACCCTGGGGAAAGAATGGAAATGGGTTACGTTGCTTGGTCATAACGACAGCCAAACGGAAAAGGCTCAGTGCTCAGCACCGCAGACCCTGAGGAAGATGGAGAGTGGAAACAATTCCATGAAAGGACATGAATTGTTAGCTTTGTGGTTTACCTTGTTCAAAAAATTGTGATCGCCTTTTTAAATTTTTCAAAGAAATAGGTTCAGATGCTAGTTGAAAAATACAAAAGAAATCAATCAATACCATGTCATTCATTTTTCTCTCTCACCACTGGAAAACTAAATGATACTTGATACACATTTCTCATCTACTGCAATATTATTTTTTTTAATGACAAAACAGAGGGTCATAGAAGATAAGGATTATTTCATTGCAAACATACACACATATTTTTAGTAGTATATACCACATTCAAATTAGTACAAGGAGCAAATTTTTTTTAATACATTTTGGCAGAGAGCATCACAGTTTCAGCTAGGGAAGACAATGCACTATCTTGCGTGCTAGATCACAAAGCTTTAGGGAAATGGAAATTAAAAATTTCGGCTTAGGTTAATTGCTCCAAAATCTCTTCTAGTATAAGAGAATCGCTTGTAACTAAGGGTTTTCACAACCCTGGTGGTAAGGAACTTAAAAGTAATGGGGAGAAGGGTAACAAAATAAATGCTACCCAAGGAAAGAAAAAAACAAATGCTAAAATCAAGACATTCTTCTAAGTAGAATATTTTGCCCAAGTCTTCAAGATCTTAGGTTTCTTTCTTTAATTTAAGTAAAGCAAATGGAGTTTAGTCAGATAAAAAAGAAATCTTATATTCTGAATTCTCCCACAGATCTGTCACAAGATGTGGTAAATGACTATTGTACTTAACTTAATTCATAAAGTGCTATCATTACTCGACACTAGTTGCTGATTCCTTCTCTAAGCAAAACCCTCAAGTGATAGGGCCTGCATATAATTCCATAATTATTTAAAAATTAGTTTTTTTTATCAGTAGGCTCTGCCTTTGCCACTGGCAGAACAGGACCTGGATGTCTTAGATATGTATCATGAAGAAAAAATAAGTAATGTTTGTTTTAAAAACTCCTTCAGTAAAGAATGTCATTTGAAATATTTAAAATATAGTCACTTTCAATAATCAGAAATGAAGTGCAAAGATAAGGAACCAGTAAGGAAAGGGAAATTTCTCAGTTCGGTTAATTTTGACATAATGTATTATGAACTGGCAGTAATGAATTAAAAGTCACCAAACCACTGTGAAAACCTAGCCCCATGCCAGTCAATCTATTCCCATGGTAAAGTTACCTTCTTTGTGTCTCTTTCTTTGCCTATGCGTATCATGTCTTTCTTATTTATTTTTTATGATCAAGGAATAACACACAGTGTGTGGTAGCTAAATTATTTATGGACGGACAGAAAAAGGAAGAGTGATAACTCCATAATACAAAATGTCCTTAGATACTTTGCCTGCCTTTCATTACAAATGGGTACTTTTCCTAACAATTGTTATTGGCATTGGCATTTTCCTATGAAGCCTAGCTGCCTCCAAGTTTGTCCCTCTCAAAACTATAAAGAGAAAAAGGAAACTTCATTCATTGTTTCAAATTCAAGTAAGATTCCCTCTGCCAGCATACCATAGCGAGAAGGCGATGGCCTCGGGAAAACCGGTCTTTCTTATTTGGCTTTGGCAGGCAGCACTCAAAGCTCCAGAATGTGTTGCTGAAGCTGTGCTTGAGCTATTCAACCCTGGAACTGAACGCCCTTCCACCTGGCTGCAACTGGATCTGTGTGCTAACCTTTTACTTTCAACTTGCAAGTGGATTAGCTTTTCTTTCACTCACAGTAGTAATTTTTATAACAGCAGAACTTGATAGCTGTTGCTTTTCCTATATTATAAATGTAAGTTGTAATGGTGACGTTTACCTTTTGATTCAAAAGTACTGCTTTCATCACGAATTCCATTGATTTCTTTGGATTCAGTATTCTGGAAAGAATGAAATGCTGGTTAACAGTATGCTCTCCAATTGGACTTTTGGCTTAAATAATGCATTTCCCATTAGTGAAAATATCTTCCAAAAAAAATGAGCTTTTCAGAATATTAATGTGTTCCTTTTAGCCTTTTACATGTAATAGAAACTTAAATTTTTTTTATGATTCTTCAATATCTGTGCAAGGATTAATGACCAGCTGCAGGCAGTGATGGCTTTTAGTTCAATCAGTCATTAATGTTCCAAGAAACATGAAGGGTGAAATAATTATTAGTCCATTTAGCTTGGAGTTATGATTAAGCAAAAGAGTCATATTTTGCTTAATCTAGAATTCTCTAATATTTAAACCTTTCTGACACAATATAGCAGGATCCTCTTATTAAATAAAACTGGGGCACCTTAGAATGATAATGATATCAAAGGAGTCAATATAAATGTGTAATAATTCATTGAAAGTTCAAATGTAATTCCTAAATTATTTAAATGAACAATCCATATCATAAATAGAAACCACATTAAAAAAAACTATATATGAAGAAGTATTGCTTTGATACCTAGAAAAGTTTCTCCTTTATAATCTTCCCCTTTTAACAGCTTTAATGAGATATAATTCACATATCATAAAATTCACCCAACTTATAATTATTTTTTAATCAATATAACCGAATATCTCTTAACCACATCTATAAGTCCACCCATCAGATTTACCTACACAAGGACTAAAAATCCCTCATAAGGTTTTTAATTGCACACAATCACTACATTTATTTTACAGAAACACTAAAGAAAGCATAGAAAAGCTATAGTCTATAATTTTACATAAGTACTACTTCACATTCACAAGTGAAAATGAGAAATGAGAGATGTGTATGATGACAAAAGATTGGTGAAAAACACCCTACAAATGACATCATGGGATCTTTTGATTTTACCATTATATATATATCACTACTACTCTAATTATTAATGAGCAATGTCTTATGAAGGAGCCCTGGTGGCACAGTGGTCAAGTGCTTGGCTGCTAACCCAAAGGTCGTGTGGAAACCCTATAGGGCAGTTCTATTCTGTCCTATAGGGTCACTATGAGTTGGAATCAACTCAACAGCAGTGAGTTTGGTTTTGGTTTTAATGTCTTTATGATTTTCAAAAGTATATTTTATCCTCATTACCCTAAGTTACCTTATTCAATTATTTATGTTTTAAAAGTACTATCAAAATTTGTTCAAAGAAAATAAATTCTTTTCCCATACACAATTCCTATAATTGCTTGATCTACACAAATTCTCCCCACTAATCAAAATACTTACAGAATTCTGAAGGCTTTCGGAGAAATCAGTTGTTAGTGATAGATTTGAAGATTTGTCTGAGTTGTAAATTCCAGAAGTAGTGTCAATCCACTTCGTTTCAGGTGAACCTATAATTTTGGTAGCCATACTGGTGAGACTGAGAGTTTTATGCCGTGTAAATGGCAGGGAAGGTTGGTCTTTTCCCCAGTCTGATTGGCACATGAAGATCAAGTAATGAGTACACATAAATGTTGAAGTAGAAAGAACAAAGTTACTGAATGCACATAGACAAAATGTACATATACAAGACAGACAAATCAAGCAGCAAGTGAGAGAAATGGAGAATTTAGTGCTTTTGCCAACAGACCACCTTCCCAAAAACGCAATGGTTAAATCCTGTTAATAATGAGAGGACTAGCAAATTTACTAACCAATCAATAAACCAGGACTGGATATTATATTTTGATACTATAATTTACTAGGACTGGAGATGCTTAAGGCCCTTCCCCCATCTACCCTCAATAACTAAGAAAAACATTAACGGAATGCGTATGGAAAATTCCTCAAGAACCAACAACAGGAATATGACCTACCATATTCTCTCTCACACCAGTTACAGTTATGGTGCTGTAGAGAAAGTTAAATCATAGTGTAATGCTTAATACTCAATTCAATATTGTTATATGACTCCTGAATGCAGATACAATTACAACAGCCTTCAGTTCATATTTGTATTCAAAGTCAGGCCTGTATATAATTCAGCCAGTAAATTTGCTCGTCTGAAGGATTTGTGACAGAATATTCTAGGAGATATTCAAGATTTGTCACAACATAACCACAAAACACCTTTAAGCCAAAAAATAAGTAAAATGAAAAAAAAAAAAAAAGTTATTGAAGCAAGCTGTTACAACCATCTGCCAAAAGACTGGTTCCCAATTTAGTAAACCAGACGCGGTGGTAAAACCAACTCACCAGACTTTCCATAGCGTCTGACATCCATTACCAGGTGTCCAGTTTCTTGAGCATTAGCCATGGCTTCCTCCCACTCTTTTGTGTCCTTATATGAAAACTTGATGTTGTTAATAGCAATAATTTCATCATCTACCTGTAGCTGAGAAAATTCTGCTGGGCTACCTAAATAATGCAAAGTAATTAAACAACCAATTTTAAAACAAGAAATGATTACTCATCACTGCTTATTTTAATCAAGGAAAAATTACATTAATCTCGACTGATCATTTTTTATATTTTATTTTCACGGAGAGGAAAGTCACTGAATTTTTAAAATATTTGAGTATCTACAATATACAAAGCACCAGAGGCATTTTTATTCTATAATAGGCATCTTCACTAACATTTAAGAAAGAATGATCAACTCATCTTTTCAGTGAAATTTCTTGATTAGCCTCCTAACAACAAAGAAAAACTTAAATTACTTCTAAATAAAAAGCGTTAAATATATAGCACTTTAATTAAGCTTCCAAATCTACAGCCACTCTGGAACAGAGCAGAAGAAAACATGGTCACTTCGAACTGCTTTAAATTGCTCTTCTAAAGACTACTACTATCTAATTAAAGCTATTTTGAAATTTGAAAGAAATAACCAATGTCAGCATGCAAATTTATATAGCTAAAACATGTAAATGAGCAACTCCTCTCAAACACAATAGTTTTCTTTCATTTTCATTGTAGGCCTTACAGTAATATTTTGCCAAGAATTCCCTGGCTTGACTTAGTATAACCCTGGGTGAAGGAGGAGTGATCCTTTTGTAAAAGTCCCAAAGCATCCTGAAGATTCCTTGGGCAACAGATACATCAGAATGCTCAAAAACATCTATTTACTACACAGCATGTATATACCACAAAACATGGCTGAACCCAATAAGTTGTTTCTGAATCTTCATTTAAGTACTATTTGTTAACATTTCCAAATATGAAGCCTAAAATTTTGACAAATTCTATAAATATCATAAAATTACGACTCTTCAAAATAAAAAATGAATGAGGTGAGGAGAATAAATAAGATGTAAACTTATAACCCTCTTGGGGAAGAGAGTGCATCTCCTGGCTTTACTGCGGTTGTGTTCACACCTTAGGATAACACCAAAGGAGAAGAAAATTCAGCAGAGCCAAATCTAAGATTTACCTGCTTCAACTGATGCTACGAAGATCCCAGAAAGATCCCATTTTACTGTAAACCCAAAGTCAACACTGTTCCGAGGCGTCTGGTTTATGCTGATTCTCATATCACTGAACTGATCCTGAAAACAAAACATGAAACTGTGGTATCAGGTGTCCCTGGCGCCCACATGGAGGAAAGTCTATCCACGAACGAAGGGAGGCTGCCTTCAAGCTACACTTGAATTATTTCATGATAAACCAGAAGCGTCATTCTTTTTTCCATGGGTTAGCAGAAACCTTCATTTATATAAGTATCAGAGTTAAACTTTTTTTGCTAAAATAATAAGGGAAACCTTCATTCAATAAATGTTTCTCCTCACATTAATACTATAAGTATGTTGGCCATTGATAAAGCTTCGACTTTTGTCCACCATACAATTGGGGCTAATTTACAAACCTTTTGTTCATTACCCAAGAATAAAATGGAGTGATTCAATTCATTCATAAAAATAATGCCACCATACTTTTTAAAAACTATCTCTAACTTTTAACATATTTAGCTGAGTAATTCCAAGTGCTTTTTAGACATACAATTCAGCTGCCAGTAGTGCTCGTCTAGAACTGGTACCACCTCCCTAGTAAGCACCTAAAATTTGGCAAGGCATTTTTGCTTGAGTGGTCAAGGTATTCGCTGCTACACATGCTACAAAAGGCAGAACGCTGTGTGTCACCCATGAGGAAGTATCCCCTAAGATGCCAAGAGGGTCTCTAGTGAGGCGCCCTGACCTAAATAAGTATTTTACTGCAACAATTTGACAGAAAAAGGGTGAATAAAGAGTCCCTATCCACAAAGAGTTACAGACCTAGACTTCCCTGAAGTAACATCAGCCTCTTGGATGACAGGTAGAATTCTATTTCCATCTCCATCATTATACTACATAGCATCAAATTCTAAATTTCACAAGAGCTTCTTAAACTATTTTCCAAACCAAATAGTTTAACTTTTGCACAACACTATGCCCATGAAAAATTTAACTCTCTTTCATAATTTACAGGTTTAATTTGTTTTGTTTAAATAAGAAACACATAAGGATTTTAACATACATGAGTTTCCTGAACTTGTGTTTTAGTTCTGTGCTTCACAATCATAAAGAACTTAGACTTATCTAGCTAAAAAAAAAAAAAAAAACTTCTTCCTAAATATACTTTATTTCCCAAATAAAGACCTAAAACTTCTCCATTTTAATTGGGCAGTTAAACCCAAATCTAAGGCCAATTAGACAACTCATAAGGCTTCCTGCCTAAGTTTTTCAAACTATAAAACAAGTTTAAAATTCAAGTGGAACCATTCTGAGAAAAAACAGGGTGGTTCATAAGAATTAGTTGGAGGGCACTAAATAAATACAGAGAACTTACTATGTTATATGGATACACACAGAAGTTAAGTGTTACAACACTATTAACTTCCTCATTCATTTAATAAACATTTATTCTGCATCTACTCTGCGTGGCTTGAATGGTTTGTGTTTTGACTTCTAACCTAAAGGCTGGAGGTTTGAACCCACCCAGCAATGCCACAGAACAAAGTCCTGGTAATCTGCTTCCATAAAAAATTAAAGCCAAGAAAATCCTATGGAGCAGTTCTACTGTATAACACATAGGATCATCATGAGTCAGAATCAACTCGATGGTAATGAATTCTATTTATTTTTTTGGTTTATTCTGTATAAGATACAATGCTTGGCATTTTGGGAAATAATATGAATTAGGCATGGTCCTTGCTTACAAGAATTACTGACTCTTCAACAGTGAGATTCTTTTAAGAAAAGAGGGGAAAATGTAAATGTCTTCATCAGAAAGTGCTCTCGTAAAGCAGTTTTAAATGGGAATTCAGATGAAGGTAGTCAGACGATCATTAATAATCTGCCTGGTGAATACCAATCTAAACAATATAACTCTTCTAAGAATAGAAAAAAAATTACTACTTAGTTCTACTCCTTAACCGAAACCACCATATACTTGAATTAGAGATGACTCATTGAAAATGAGTGGTCATCTTCACCACTCTTCCAAAATAAATGACTTAAAACCAATAAAAGTGCAGAATCTATTGCTATGTAAGGGCAGAGGGACAAATGATGGGTTTGAGATTCAAGATACTAATTGTGGTTTTTTAGCTTGAAGAATAAAAGACAGGATAAAGTTTTAATCAACAGTTTCCAACATCTCCCCAACTGTGCGGGATGGCAAGTGAACATTATCCTTTTCTACCAAAAATAGGACAAAAAGGAATGAGTTTAAACCATAGATGGAAGTGTTTCACAATTATATTAGACCAGAAGAATTATACCATGAAAGGTTACCCTTGCCTCAGAAATAAAGAAATCTCTATTTGAACATATTAAATAAAAGGGCAGAGAACTACCTCTCTGGAGTAGTCAACAGGGGGGACAGGTTCCCTGTAGTTACAGCCTGAAAGACTGTGTGGGAATTCCTGGGACTGTATGCAAGTGAAGACAACAGAACCATGCGAGTAATTACAGGTCCCTATCTTTCAATAACCAGGCTACCTCAGGCATGTCATTGAGCCTGCCAGAGCCATCCCTATCACTACAACATGGATGCTCAAGTTCTTAGTTTTCAAAACCTACTTTCAGATGAAATCTTAAACACAACTCCCAATTTAAAGGATTAAAGTGGAGTGGCTGTAGGTTTAGGGTAAGCATTCCAAAGCCCCACTTGCTTGTTACCCCATCACCCCAGCAGTCCCTGAGACATACTGAGGAATCTGAGGTTCTTGTATAAGATTACCCCTAAGATTTCTTGCAGGTGAACATATCTATAATTACATTCAAGCATAAACTGTTCAACAATTATTTCAGTTAGGATTTCTAGTTCCTTCTTTTCTTCTGCAAAATATAGGCCAAGTTAAGTATTCTATGAGTCGGAATCAACTCGATGGCAATGGGTTTTTGGAAGTATTCTATGGAGTCCAAACTGCAAACGGTTAACACGCTCGGCTGGAGGTTCAAGTCCACCAAGAGGCGCCTCAGAAGAAAGGCTTGGTGAGCTACTTCAGAAAAGTCAGCCACTGAAAACTTTATGGAGCACTGCTCTACTCTAACATACATGAGGTCGCCGTGAGTCAGGCTGGACTCTGTGGTAACTTTTTGTTTTTTTTTTTTAAAGTAGTCTATAAAGGATAATTGTTCAATCTGTATGCTGAACAAATAATCCAAGAAGCTGGACTATATGAAGAAGAATGTGGCATCAGGATTGGAGGAAGACTCATTAACAACCTGCTATATGCAGATGACACAACCTTGCTTGCTGAAAGTGAAGCGGACTTGAAGCGCTTACTGATGAAAATCAAAGACTGCAGCCTTCAGTATGGATAGTACCTCAACATAAAGAAAACAAAAATCCTCACAACTGGACCAATAAGCAACATCATGATAAACAGAGAAAATACTGAAGTTGTCAAGGATTTTATTTTACTTGGATCCACAAACAAGGTCCATAGAAGCAGCAGTCAAGAAACCAGACGACGTACTGCATTCGGCTACAAAAGACCTCTTTAAAGTGTTAAAAAGCAAAGACGTCATGCTGAGGACTAAGATGTGCCATAGTCAAGCCAGACTATTTTCAATCACCTCATATATATGCAAAAGCTGGACAATGAATACGGAAGAGGGAAGAAGAATTGAAGCCTTTGAATTATGGTGTTGGTGAAGAATACTGAATACACCATGGATTGCCAGAAGAATGAACAAATCTGTCTTGAAAGAAGTACAGCCAGAATACTTCTCAGAAGCAAGGATGGTGAAACTCTGTCTCATGTAATTCGGACATGTTATTAGGAGGGGCCGGTTCCTGGAGAACAACATCTTGCCTGGTAAAGCAGAGGGTCAGTGAAAAACAGAAGACCTTCAAAGAGATGGATTGGCACAGTGGCTGCAACAATGGGCTCAAGTATAACAAGGATTGCGAGGATGGCACAGGACTGGGCAGTGTTTCCTTCTGTTGTACATAGGGTCACTACAAATCGAAACTGACTCAATGACACCTGACAACAACATAAAGGATCCAAGCTTCATAGATGACAAACAGGGAAATTTACCTTTGGAACTGAATGGAACAGAAATCTAAGATACTGAGGAAACCTAGATTCTTGATGCCTTAAAAAGAACTAATAAGTGGTTTCAGTTGTCTATGCAAGAAAGATAAAATACAATATCTATCAACATATCATCAGCATCTTAGAATAAAATCAATTTCCCTCAAATCAGGGACAATTTAAACAGCAGCACACACAGAAAGTTGAGATTGTCTTGCCAATGGTCAGACAGATGAAGCAGAAGTATCAAACCAAATTAAAAAAAAAAAAAAAAAGATGATCTGATGTAGCAACAATAAGATTTATTTTTTACTAGATCTGATGAATGAAGGTTCTCATGTCACCACAAATAAGAATATATGAAAAAGTGGATCAAACGTCTATACTACTAGTACCAGCTGCCATCCAGTCAATTCTGACTCATGGCGATCCTATGTGTGTCACAGTAGAATTGTGCTCCACAGGGTTTTCAATGGCTGATTTTTCTGAAGTAGATCACCAGGTCTTTCTTCCAAGGCAGCTCTGGGTAGACTTGAACTGCTAACCTTTTGGTTAGCAACCAAGCAAGTTAACCTTTCGCACCATCCAGGGACTCCCAGCTTATGTACTAGCATGTCATAAAGGTATTCTCCTCAAACTCTTTTCAATTAGACAAATGTGTTGACTTAAAGGAAGCCTACTTCAGTGATAAAATTAAATAAAAAGCTAGAAGCCGATTTGGGCTGTAAAGTTAGGAATAACAAATACATCATCTTTATGTTTGTGTACACATGGATTTTTAGTGTTTTTTTCCAAGGTCTTAATGGGATGAGAACGTGAAATGAGTAGACCTCAAATCATAGCCTTGCCCAATACTCCAGCTACTCTCCTTCACCAGACTCCTATATACCTACTTTCTCCACTTCTTCATTTCCTACTGTGTTTCAAAGAGGAAGATGGTGTTTTTACCGTACTATTTTACTCAACCCACTCCAAGCTTATCTCCTAATCATTAAATCCATTTTCAATCCTCATACTACCAGG